GTCCAGTCAGCGGTGAGTAATCCCAAACCAATGGCGCTGTCTCAAACTATACCTACCTCTTCCGGTTTGTCTGAATTGTCGTTGTGTTTTCTGACTTGTTATAATGTTTTCTGAATTGTTGTTGTGCTTTCTGAATTGTTATTTTGTTTTTTAGACTTGCATTTGCGTTTGTAATTTGTTCTTTTGTTTTCAGAATTGTGATTTGTTCTGCACTTCTCGGCCACCATACTGAAGATGTAATATCGACATATTACAATATCAACCTGCTTACGTGTTTAAAGTAAGAAAAGATTCTGGTATAAAAAAATATGCCACCATTCCTTTAGAAAAGAAAACACTTTATTTTAAGGACTAATTCTAACTATTAACAAGCATGCATATTACTAGCATATTGGCTGTTTATATAAAGCACATATTAAAGGTTCATTCTGCATGACCATAATTAGATTCTCTATATGTAAACTTACCTTACTAATTATTAATAGGCAGCAAATTAAAAGTTTATTGAGGCAAACGTACTAGTTAATAGTAGGGCTGGGTATTGACACAAATTTCACAGTTCAATTTGATTTCTATTCACAAGCCTGAGATTCGATTCTGATTTTCATTCAATTCAATATCAATTATTTTGGATATATATCAGGTACACATGACAAAAGAAAAAAAAATCTCTCAACTAATGCTGTAAAAAATGCATGAGACTCAGCTGGTACTAAAATTAACTGATTTGCATGCAAACACTTAAATTATATTACATTTTAAAATTAAAAACTTAGTTATAATAGTAACTTTACAATTACATAAGTATATTTCCACTCCAATTCGTTTTTTGAAATATAAACATTTAAATGGTGGCTGTCAAAAAAACCTGACCGATTTATTCAAACATAAAGAGTATAGAGTAAAGTATAATGAATATGTTATATGGTGCATATATTTAGTGATTTTTCTAGCTGACTAATGAGTTAATTGTCACAGAATATTTTTTTTCTGAGATAAATGTGACCTTATGTGACCTACTGTTTAGGCTACAAGCTGTTATATTGACATCTTTCTGCAGTTGAAACACTGATTGAGACAGAATACGCATTTCAGTAAGTTGTACCCTTTCTTTTAACATACATTTGGATGGTTATTCATGTTTATTTCATGCTGTAACTGGTATTAAAGCGGAGATATTAAAGCACACTCTTGAACTGAGGTGCTACAGCGATCTGTCACTCCACATGACTGTAAGATGCAAACTCGCAATTGCAAGAAAAAAGTCAGAATTGTGAGATAAAAAGTCACAATTGCCTATTTTTGTTTTTATTCAGTGGCAGAAACGGCTTCCATAGTACGTGTTTATCTTCACTTTTAAAATATGCATTATTATTATCTACATGTATAATTTCCTGGGGTCATGACCCCATCATTTGCACCCTCCCTCCAGCAGTTTCATTTCTCCTGAGAGACTCGTGTAACTGTAAGGACTGAACTCACCATCCTACAGGAAGCAGGTTTATACAGACAGCCGAACTTGAACAGCTCTCACCCAAGTTGACTTATATAGATAATAAAGCAATGGATCTTCACATAAGCTGCAACATAAAGCTGTTTTCACTTCTGTATCTGGCACTGCACTGTAAGTGTTTTAAACTCATATTTCTCCTCAACTATTTCAAGTTTGTTATTTGATGTTTAAATAATATTGCTGTTTTAAATTTCATATCTGTTTTTTGTTTTATATTTTAATGATTTTTTACTACTGATTTATTTGACTACTTTTAAGGAATATATACTCGTGAGTTTATTTAAAATGTATATATAATTTAGTTTTTAAAGTTCTCATGACTTTCCAGTTTGACCAAACACTAATAATTAGTGCAGTCAAACGATTCATCGCGATTAATCGCATCCAAAATAAAAAATGTTGTTTACATAATATAGGTATGTGTACTGTGTTTATTTATTAAGTATATATAAATACACAAACATACAGTAAATATTTTGAAAATGATATATATCATAATATTATATATTATATATAAATATATTTAATATATAAACATAACATATTTTTATTTGCATGTGTGTGTATTTATACATGCACAATAAATATACACAGTCCACACACTCATATATTATGTAAACAAAAATGTTTATTTTGGATGCGATTAATCGCGATTAATCGTTTGACTGCACTACTAATAATATTGAGAATATTCATGATCTGAATATATTTCTTCATTATTTACTCTACATAAACGTTTCACTGTGCATATAATTTCAGGCTTTTTATGGAAGACTTCATTGAACGTCTCTGTGCAGCAGGGGCAAAATGTCACACTGAGCTGCCCATTGATGATCAACAGCAGTAAAGGGGTTTTGAGCTGGTACAAACAGACTCCATGGCACGGGCCACAGCTGATCCTTTCCTACAATATCACCAACACTTCACAGGTGCGCCGCGGCACGGGACTGGACCACAGCAGATACACCGTCTTAACCAGGGAAGGGTTAAACCCTCGTCACCTCTTACAAATCCTCACAACTTTACAAAATGACACTGGAACTTATTATTGCGGGTTTTCAGACAAAAACCAGACGCACACGTTTGACGACTGAATGCAAATGCTGCATAATATATTATGTTTTAGATATTTACTGATCTTAAATGCATCCTTGTGCAAATGAACTTTATTTATGGAAAACAATACACTTTTCCATCAGTGTCTATTTCATGAAAGCTATCTTCTTAATGTTCCAATATTTCTGGCTTGCATTGCAAAACCTGCAAACTTTGCTCTAATTGGATTAGTTGGCTCCCAGGAGATCTGTGCAGAAGTGCTGGCAGTGTTGTGATAGAACGAGCATCTGTCTGTGCCAGTAAACCAACGGCTCTTTCCTGTTTTTAGGTCCCTCTTAACCGAATAACAGTCAAATATGTTTTTAACACATTGATACTTTATGGTGTATAACAGAAAAGAAAAACAGAATTTTCTTTTCAGCATATCATGGAAAAATATTAATAAACACAGTAGCAATTGTGTACTTGCAACTGATCTGCACTTCAGATAATCTATACATTCCAGTAAAAAAAAAGTGTATATTATATTATATTATATTATATTACAGAAGTCAAACTAACAAAGCACTGCATCTGTGGATAAAAAACCTATTACTAAAATAAAAAAAATCAAATAAAAACTATGTAGACAAAATTAAAATAATGTAAATAATAAAAACTACAAAACACATAAATGATAACTGAAGTAAAATAAAATATGAAAAATATTCTCAATTTTTATGTAGTTTAACTTGTAATGTGCTAAAATAAAAAATTGAAATAAACATGAATAAAAACTATGTAGACAAATATAAATAATAAAAACTACAAAACACATAAACGGTAACTGAAATAAAATAAAATATGAAAAACATTCTCAATTTTTATGTAATTTAACTTGTAATGTGCTAAAATAAAACAATTTGAAACAAAAATGAGTAAAAACTATGTAGACAAAAATAAAATTAATCTTTAACTAAAATTGAAAAGAAATTGGAACGTATAAAATAAAATTGATTAATTAAATAATAAATACAATTATTAGCTATCAGTGATAGTAAAATGAAACTGCTGCAGACACCACTGATTGTAAAATACTATTTCAAAAAATATTAGTAATTTTATAACATATATTAAAATACAATTTTCAAGATTTCATTGTAATAAAATATTTCTGTTAATGTTACAAATATGAATTTCCTAAAGCCTGATTCATTGACCCTGTGAAGGAATCAACAGTGTAATGGTTGATTGCTTTTAAATGGACCATCTGCACACGGCTTATGAGCACATGGGACGTTCTTCCCTCAACCGTCAACCTCTGTGTCGACTTCATAACACAACACTGAATCAAATCAAGCTTCACTGGCTCTAGAGGGAAATTATATCTCAGACAGCATTCGCTCACACACACAACATATATAAAGAAATTCAATGAAACAGAAAAGAAATGAACAAGAATAGAAAGGCGACTAGTGTGATTATCATTATTACCTCACTTCTTCTGCTGCGGTGAGACTTTAATGCCAAAATCGAATAAATCAATTACTGTCTTGATCATATAGCTCATTGGAGATTTCTATTACAGCATTGCTTCAGGTGAGAAGGACACAATGAACCAGATGTTTAGCAGAGGACTTCGACTTATTGTGGAAGGTAAGAGATGCTTTCAGGAAGTTCAGAAATGTGGTTTTGCTCAGTTTATACTCATCATTAACATGTTTTTCAGTTCCTCACATCCGTGTTGAACGCCAGGTGACTCCGAAAGTGCATGTTCTTCTCCCTGCTGGAGGTCAGAAGCAGCGATCAGAGAGTGTGACGCTGGCGTGTGTCATCACCGGCTTACAGTCTAAAGCGCTGAGGATCACATGGAAGGTAAACGGAGCCACAGGTCTGAAAAAACACGCCAGCTCTCCACAAGTGCACCGAGAGCCTGGAGGCACATTCTGGGCTGTGGGACTGCACTCGGTTCTGGCTCATAAATGGAGTGCTGAGAATAAGTACAGGTGTGAGGTGACATACAAAGCGGCGTTTCACTATGATAAGGCAGAGTCGTCTCTCTGCAGTCCTCCTGAGGGACTGTAACTGTGTCCTGGGTTAGAGATTCTCTAAATTGCATGAGATCCATCTGCTGACCACTGAGCTGGAGCTCATATTGCACTTAAAAATCTAAAGAGGGGAAAAAAGGACAATATATTTTCTAAAGTAACTTTGTTTCTAAAGTCTAAAGAATTCTACATTTTTCACATTATTTTGATGATGTTTGCCTCCCAAATTGTCATTATAGCTGATGCATTTGGACATTTAATACGATAGTTTTTAGGTGAATCATCATAAATTGAGGGCAGCAAAATAAAATACTAATGATATATAAGTATATATATATATATATATATATATATATATATAAACATGTAATGATTTATATAAAAACAAAACAGGCTTAATTTTCTTTAAACATATTATTATTATTATTATTATTATTATCATCTTAAATTTGCCATGAAAACTGACTGTATATACTGTTTTGTTTTGTTTTATTTTATTTTGTTTCTATGGTTAGCTAGCCAAATTATTCTGCTTTAATGCGAAGCA